ACACACTTGCTTAATGATATAGATCTATGCATATATGTGTATGTATGTAGATGCTCATATAAGGCATATGTTTTTAGATTTTGCGCTTTTTGCAAAATATTCTCTCAAAGCAATGCTCATTTCTGCTTTGCCAGGCGAGTGAATGAAAAGTTTAACGATGCAAGCTCCTTTAATATATTTTTTGTTATTTATACAAGATATTGACGATATTTCTTTTTGAAAAGCAATTCCATTTTAGGATTTCGTTTATAGTACAGTGCAATTTGTTTATTTATTTTGTTTATAATATATATTTTGGCATTTTATGAAGCCAATCGACGAAGAAATTATCTGATAAACATATTTTTATATGCACTTGTTTACATGATATCTTATCGGACTGGGGGGTATGAAGAATGCAATCTAGAATTATTATCAAGTTAATGCCGCAAAAAATAGTTAGAAGAGAATGAAATAGATTTACAACAAATTTGGGAAATCAAATTTCTGCAAATAAAGTTCTCTGCTAGACATCACGATCAACAGCGTTACAATTCAATATAAGCCTTATCGCCTATTTAACCCAATGTCATCAGCTATAGATGGAATGGTTTATGTGAGAATAAGAACAATCCTCTGATAATCCGGTTGAATCTGTTACTGTAAATTTTGCTCGAGTTTCTCAGTTTTTTATATTTTCCTTTGCAACAGTCATATTCTTGCGGAGCACTTTCATATAAAATTTTTAAGTCTCCGATGGTTTGTCTATTGAAATCAGACATTTCCTGTAAGGTTGTAAGTGATCAAAGTTATACGAATCTAGATAAGAGGTTACCAGATCAATCGGGTCGGCTTCGCTTTTTGAAGACAACAATGCTCTTCCAGCATCACAACGAATCGGCTCATTAACCTAAATAAAGCATAAACTGAGCTAAGGCTGAACAATTGCAAAAACTGCCTCTAATACTTTGTTGGTTTGCTTATATCTGATATATACAAGTATATCCGCTGACTAAGTTGTAGTTCTACAGTCCAACGTTTCTTTATGCTTTATGAAAGTTGCAGTTGATACTCCTTCTACAATAGAAATTGATATTAATACTAATTTCGATAACTAGGAAAGCATCTTTTTTGAATTTGTCACCTAGTCTATATTTCGAGTTTGATTATCATTATCAAGGGGCTTTAGATATTTCCTTTTCCACGCCATTGTATTCTCAATTGTTCTATTTATAAGAATAATAAAGTACATATAACTTATATACCTATATATAATTTTGAACAAATAACACCCTCCAAGTTATTGAAGTCAGCCAAAGTCAGAAAGTCGGTTTTCACAAATCTTCTTCATCTAATCGAGTGACGTTCGAGGGTAATTTAAGCGTTTTGGAAAGTCGTATCTGGATTTGTACTGAATCGAGGCTTACAAGATCTTTATACCCGACTTTATCGGTTAGTAAATGTCAAAAAGTTCAATGTTTACAAACAAAACATAACAGATGTCTCTTCCTGTATTATTTCTGAAGTAAGCATATAATTTGAAATTGAACTAAAGTAAAATGATTTATTATATTTCTGAAGTCATAGCTTGACCATCAGCAACAGTATTTATTTGCGACTAATTCGAGGTAGTCTAAAAGCTATTGTCATCTGTGAAACACTTTGGACTTAAACAACATATTTTGAAAAATGACCTTCTCGCATTTTTGCGACTCTGCATGAATAAAATGCAAAATTCATTGTAATAGTTTAACAGTACCGTTACAGTAATTTATCATTCTTATAATTTGTTGAACACAAATAAATTTTTATGCAACCGCACAAATGAAAACTTTGCCACAGGGAATCAACTTAATAAAAAGCCAACAAACCAGCGGCGGGAAAGAGGCAAGTCAAGAACATTAGTATGGGGAAAATGAAAAGGGTATCATCATAAATCACGAATCACATTTGGCGCATCAAAAAGCAAAAATTTATATTGTCCTTTTTTGGTGCTGCTGCCGTACAGCTTAGCCTTCCAGCTTAATTTATCATATTTATAGAAATATTTATTTGAACCTAGAGCAGTTGCAGAAAGCGTTAGCTGAGAAAAAATTTTAAGGTTAATGCATACAAGATTTAAGTGGTTATGGTAAAATGTGGGATTTAAATAAAAATATTCTGTGGCACATCGATAATCTACATTGTAATAACAAACATTTCTGTGTTATTTCTCTTCTTGCTTTTACTAGTTATTTTCTCTCATTCGTTTTTTTATAATCTTGCAACATGTTGCTACAGAGCTTAATAGTTTTGTTCGCCTAATGGTTGTTAATATCCCTTAAAATAATCGATTGGGATATAGGGTTATATATTCATATATAAATGATCAGGATGACGAAGTGAGTTTAATTCCAAGTAATTTTTTTTCAGTCCGTTGGTCCAACTGTGCAGGCGATAACTTGAGTAAAAATTAAGATATCTTTACGAAACTTGGTACACGTGTTTCTCAGCAAAAAAATTAGTAGATTTCGTAGATGGCCGTGATCGGACCATTACGGGACCTGCTCGACCGATTTCAACCAAACTCGGTTGCATTACTATGGTATTCGAATATTGTAGTCCGAAAATAGGATGAATCGGACTACAACTACGCCTGCTTCTAATGTAGCACAATTTTAAATTCCATATGAGCCTTTCACTTTCCTGTATACAAATCAAACAGCAATGAATATATTCGGTTAAAACTTTACACAAATAGTGCCTTTGAGGTATTCTTGCACGTTGCAAGAGTATAAAATGTGCGGTTATATCCGAACTTAAGCCTTCCTTACTTGCTTTCCTTAATTACATTCTCTAAACTTATTCCTCTCTTACTTTAACCAGCACAGCTACAACAACAAAGTTTTTATTCTCTTTAATTGTGAGTTTTCATTTATTAAGCTAGTCTTAGTAGTAAGCATTGCAAATGTTAATCATTAGTAAAAAGCTCTTCCAATAGTTGATAAAGTGAGAGCGAAGTCGCCAAATCGTTCGAATGTCAGATTTCACATTTCTTTAGACTTTTATCACATATTTAAAGAAATTGTTGTGTTTGTAAAGCTGATAAAGCTTGATGAAGTTGAAGATATGAAAAAGCTCCACCACATAAGCTATAACTTATATAGAGTTTCAGAGTTAGATTCGATTATATCGGGTTTAGCTATTAATAACATTTGCGAAGTATTTTTTTCACTGTATTAGGGAAGGCTCATGATGCAGTACGCTAGAGTCCTTCTTAAACTGAAAAACGCTACAATTCACTTACATATATTAAATTCTATTATAGCTCTGTACTGCGAAAGAGCAGGAAGGCATTACAATTACTTCTGGTTTCCCGGCTTCGGTCTCTATAGAAACTGCACCAAAATTAATAGAGACAAGATTGCCGCACGTTAAGTACTTAAGAACGAACTGTCACAACTTCATAGTAATTGTAAATGAATCTTCCCCCTTATTTCATTCATTACGTCACGACTAACTTTTACTTTTGTCAAACATATTTTAAAACAAATAATGAAACGAAACTGTCGTAACCTTCATTTCTATCAATAAAGAGTAACGTAGTTGCGCTGTAGTTCTGCTGTCGGGAAAACCTAAGTTGCCCAGAAAAGTAATGAGAGGCTCAATACTACAAGTATCTACTTTGAAACTAAGTTCATGAAATTATCAACTACAGAGTTGTGAGTGTACGTAATAAAAGATATGGTAATGTGCAGAATTGCAGAATACGTTCTCAGTGGGGAGTCTGTACATATATCTTGTTAAAAAGAGTGGTATTTAGGGGTGTATTTTTAAAAAAATTTAAGCGCAAGGTCTGTCTACGATTTACACATAATTTGTTTGCCTTATATTCAGTTGGTAAATAGAAATGGAAAAAATGTCCAATTAATTGTAGTCGCGAAGCGTTCGGGTCAGTCAAAATTAATATAAATCAAAAAAAATGCGAGGTGTTTCAAAAAAACAACGGGAATTTTAAAATTAGAATTTCGCGAGTTTGGAGAGTCTAACTGAAAACCTTTTTATCATATTTTATTATATTAATGTACATGCCTCTGAAGTACGATAAAATTTTCAGCTGTATTCATTGCATACTTTGTCCGTAGCAGCCGCTACGGTTAGTAGTTTGTTATGAGCTCATACTTCGTTGCTTGTTCGTGAGTTCTTAGTCAAAAACACTACTGTAACGATGCCCCAGCTTCCATGTCCGCCAGACATGGCTAAGTGTGACTTTTTCCTATTTCCAAAAATAAAGATAACCTTAAAGGAATTTCGTTTTACCAACGAAGATGGCAATAAAACCGCATCGCTGAAAGAGCTAAAGGCTATCAATACATTTTTATCAAAAATCATATAAGTCCACAACTTTGAAAAAGTAAAATTCGAAAACAAAAAGTTCCATTCTACAAAAAAGGTCTTATTGGGTTTTTTCTTAAAACCATTCCATTAGTCATACGCTGTTAAAGTTTTGCATCAAATAAACTGTAATCAAAGAGTACACCATGTCATATGATCAACGCAGAATCTACAAGTATAGCATAAATCACTTGTGTGAAAATTCAGGTCATTTGATATATATTTTTAATTGCGTATAACTTTTAAAGCAATGACTTTATGGAAAAAATCATTAAGATCTTTTTTCTAGAACGTACCATTTTGCATTAGAATATCACTTTTTCAAAGTGTCAGATTTTCTTTTTTAATACAGAATATGAAAAAATAAAAGATAAAAATTTTATTTTTAGGGCAACAACTGAAATTTAATTGGGGCGATTGCAAAAATGATAATGAACTTGGGAAATAGCGGAACCCTAATATATACTTACATACATTCTCCATATTTAAGTATGTAAAAAGTTTACCAAACTTTTACAATTTTATACTTCAAATACATGTGAGCTTTCATCAGAGCTTGCATCCGCACATATGTTTCTATTTGCTCGTGTGTATGTCTCATGAATATAGATAGATATGTCTGTATGTATGGAAAATCTTCTACTTACCGGCTGTGGCGGCGGGCAATTGTATGCGCTCCAGCAGGCAGAATGCGCAGCAAATCCAAATGCAAATAATCCGCAGAAACTTCAACATTTTGCTAATGCTCGAGGTTCACTTAACGTCACAGGAAGACAAGACGGCAAATTCCAGACAAAAACTTCTGTTTCCCGTTACTCGCTCGCTGTTGCTCTGCGACTTATATTTCCTGGTTACTTTTATAGTTTTTGCTGCCTCCTTTGTGTGGGGGCCTTGGTTGTTGTCTCAGCGGCGCTTGCCGTTGCTGCTTCTATTATGGTTGTAGCTATTGTTGTTGTTGTAACACATGTATTCGGGTCTTAAACTGACAGCTCTTTTGTTGATTTTACATGCGTGTGAATGTGCGTCGACGCAGCGTTTCGTGGCATTGCCCGTTTTGTAGCAGTAGTTATTCCTTTATTGTTATTGTTGCTTTGGTTTTTGTTGCCACTTCGTTAAGATGGCGAAGTAGGTGGCGAGTGACGCTTTCACATGTGTGTGCTTAGAATGAATTTTCACACATTTTCACAACAGCGCTCACAATGGCTCTTTCACTTTACACATTCACTTCACATTTAATTTCTATTCGAAAAGAATTTCCTTTTTTCGTTTATTGTATATTTTTTACACCAGCTCCTCTTCAAACATTATTTATTTTTTTTATTCTCGTTGCTTGCATTCGCTCTTTCGCCGTCGTTTTTTGTTATCACTTCTCTTGAAAGAGTAAACTTTTTTTTTGCTTATTTTAGTGTTGCTGCTTGTGTTTACAGTTATTTTTGTTGCTGCTTGTTCTGAGTACACCTAAAAATAAATTCATGTGTGAGCTTACGAAAATTACGAAATCGCACGTTCCTTCGCTTGTTTGGTTACTCAAAAGTTTCTACACAAATAAACATGTGTATGTTGTTATTGTTTTTTTTTGAAGTTCACTGACATTGCTTTGTGCGGAATTTCCACTTTTTTATAATTTCTTGAAATTTCACTGCCATTACATATCCTCAAATGCAGGATTATTCAAGCGACTACTGAATAGTCCTTGGAAATAGCTCACAACGCTCTTCCTTCAAAAACAGCTATGAAGTTCGTGCTTGACTTCCTTTGAAAGTAGAAAAATTTAATGATGGGGTTTCCAGAAGAAATTCTACTCTAACAAACGAACACTTTTATGACGGGACACTGGTGCTATTTTTACTATTTTTATTCTCATTACCTTTCATAAGCGGACACGGACCTCTTGATAACGCAGAAGAAAACTTAATTAAGAGTTTTTAAACTTAATAACATAAAGTTGATATTTTTACCTGCTAATACAATCAGCACCTCGATCAGAGCATCACGCAGATATGTCACTACAAACCATTTCGACATTTGACATATTTTAAACAAAAGTAGAAGAGGAGGCTGTTAATTTTATTAGGACTACATGGGACAACGTAACAAAGGAAACAATTAAAAACCGTTTTTGTAAAGCTGGCTTTTTGTGCTCAGGATGCGGGTCGGCGAATTAAATCATATTCCGAAGCATTAGAACAACTTTGTCGAGCATAAATAAATGTGTAAATACACAAACGATTTTATGGTAACTATGAATAAAATAACGCAAAAAAAATAAAATATCTAAATTAAATAACCGAGATATATAATTGGTTTGAAAAGAAGTGTGTGTATATATTTTAGTAAAATTTTTATTCGTTCACTTCTTTAAGCGGATACCCCCCATAAGCGCGCATAAATTGTGTAACCGGTTATCAGAGGTTTCCAATTGTAATCCAATTTTACATACACTGATCATAAGCCTCGGCTGTGATGGCCTTCAATGACTTCAGTGAGTTGTGTTTTGTTTTTGGTTTAAGCTCATTTTTATTCGGATTTTCCAATCAGACTCGACACAAATGGTGCTCCACAATTCGGCTCACGATCGAACGAAATCTACTTTCAACTTAATTGTGACATTTCCAATAGCCACTTATTCTTGGTCAACACGTTAAGGTCGACAGAAAATAATTACTTGATGCTTCACTGAATCGTATGACTGCGGTCTAAAGTTTCGCTAAATAAAATATTGTGAACACTCAACTCAAGTTAAGCTGTGCGAAAAGATGCAGTATCTCCAGATCTGAATGTACTCATTGCATACGGTCGACCAATATTGTATGCCCGGGCAAAGCGACTTATGTAGGTAAAACAGCGCTACGTTTTGAAATCACCGTCATTCTTTATATTTTTGAACGTCCCAAATTGTCTTCTAAAACTAATAACAAGGAACAAAATATTCTCACATTTTTCAAACTGTTTTGAAGATTCAAAATTGCTTTTAAATTTACGATCCTAATTTAAACTTAATTACGTAGTTGTTGCTTTCAATATTATTCAAAGAACCTTTTCAATTAAGCGACCAGTGAACTAAAACGACGAAAGTCTGTGGAACGGAACAATTTTCAAACATTTGTACACATTTTGCTACATTTCCATATAAGCATGAATTACATTGTTGTTGTTTGCTTAAAGAACAACTAAAAATCAGTGAAGCACTGAGTATATTTTCGCAAAGTTGCATGGCATAGGACTAGTTGCTCGTTTTTTCCCATAGAATATAAAAATAAAAACCTGTCTGAAATCTTCAATCGAAAGTCAACAGTGCGGTCAGAAAGCTGCATTTGATCTGGCCTAGTGAAAGCTGTGAGCTGATTTTGTTGAATTTGATATTTCCAAAAGATTGAAAAGTTAGTGAGTAGTTCCAAATAGTATCGTAAGCATGTTCGCAGTTTTAGTTTATAAATTATAATAAAAAAATTAAGTCCGTTTACAGTTATAATCTATCATCTGAGTCCTTGTTCAAAATGTGAAATTATAGGTCGGTTGACAAGGGAAATTCTGATCTGAATGCATGTAGCAAAATTGGTTTCGGAAATACTTGCAAAATACCACTTGCGAAATACCGCTGAATCCTCCCCAATCTAAAAGATACCAGAGTAGGCAGAAATGGACTGGCAACAGTCCACCCCTGTTGTAGTCGTGAGCATACAGATAGAGAGTCTTACTATGCTTGGAGGTATAAATAGGCTGGATCAAGGTGTCATGTGTGCCGTGCTGAGAATCCACCTGGCTGGGGGTCCTTAAATAGCCCAGTCTTGAACGGAGCTTCCGCATACCTGACACCCCTGTAATAAGATAGCCTTACTTGCGCAGCGGGGCTATGCGCAAGCGGACATACTTTCCCTACACTCGTACGTGGAAATATGAAACAAAATAACAAAAATACAAATACTAATTTAAAGGAGTCCGACTCTCCTGTAAAAAAGCCGGAGAAAGCTAGTTGTTCCCTGAGGAGAGCAGCGTTTGCTACGATTTCGAGAGTAGCCAGCGTGAGGACAAGAGCCAAGCTTGGTCCTGGCGCAAAGGCAAGCATTAGCAAAGGGGCAGAAGCTAAGGCTGGCTCCAAGAAAGTAACAGCACCGGAAGCAGCGGGTACTAAACCCTGTTGCCAAAGCATGACTGCAAAGCAGAGGTATCGGGGAGATGACAAAAGTGCTGCTGCTTGTAATGCGTCTGGTAGCTAGGCCATTACGGGCAGTAATGGCAGCTAAGCCACATAGGTCAGCAGGAGAGGCTAAGCCGTCAGCCATAAGATCGAGAACTAAAGGCATAATGCCCTCAAAATCATTTGTTGATGAGGCCCGGAACCGAATTATGATTCCCGAAAAAAAAATCCCCAGAGCCCAATGGAAATGGGTGCAAGATGCACTGACTAATGTAGTTGAGGTTTATCCCGGAGCAAGGCTAGTAGCAATAGACAGGAAGAATATCCGATCCCCACCAAAAGCTAAGGTATGAATCCCGGCTACACCGGACCAGTTGATGCAGCTCATCAAAGCCTGCAACCCGAATCTGGTAAGAAGACGAAACGAGCCACAATGCGTATTCTGCTGTTGCTAACAGAGGAATTCATAGAACCGCTGGCGAAAAGTGGCGGGGAAATTAACTATGGATTCACAAAGGTGAAGGTCATGACGTACGTGCAGACAGACTCTCTTAGGTATTTACGGAGAGTGAGCGTTTGAGACGCAGAGAAGGAAATAGTATTCTTCAAATTAATCTCCACCATAGCAAGTTAACTTCTCTAATTTATAAATGGCAAACTGCGAAAGTAAGGCTAGGAAATGTATAATGGCTAACACCACAGCGGTAAGCTGGGAGATGGGCAGTAGCAAATGCCATCTGGTGTCATGCTACATGCCGTATGATGAAAAAGAAATATCATCACATCTGATTAAAGAGCTGGTACAAGACAGTGAAGAATCCATGTGCGTGACCATACTTGGATGCGATTCCAATGCACAGCACACTTTATGTGTCAATACGGATTTCAAAAAAAAGGGGTGAGTTGGTCCTTAACTACTTACTAGGTATTAGGCTTTTATTATGTAATAGAGGTAATAAGCCAACATTTACAACAAGAAACCGGCAGGAGGTGTTAAACATTACACTCATGTCGAAAGCATTAATAAATAGATTAACCGAATATAAATTTTATGAGGAATACTCTTTTTTGGACCACCGTATTCCTATGATTCCGCCATTCCAACCAAAGAATAAAGAGGACTTACACTTCCTTGTTAAACAGTCTACAGATTCTTACCGACAAGCATTATAGGTGGTTTGTCCAATAACACGTAGTAGGGGACGAATTACAGCAAGCAATTTAATTTAGCCAAACTATCCCAAGGAGAAGAGTAGTGGGATAACTATTATAACCTTAAGGTCTTCCAAAAATAAGTAAGAAAAGCAAAAAAAAATTCGTGGAAATCTTTTTGTAATAATATCGAGAATATGGCAGAAGCGTCTCGACTTAGAAAAATAATGGCACAATCGGTGCATAATATAGGATACCTTCAGAAGCCAGACCATAGTTGGATGGTATCCAGCAAAGAAAATTAAAGTATGCTTAAAGGGGCAATGTAATTAAACTATATTCCCTCATCATGGAGGAAAGTCAAGGTGATATATATACCAAAGGCATGCAAAAGCTCACACACAAATCCAAAGGATTTCCGACCAATTAGTCTTTCCTCATTTCTTTTAAAAACGTTGGAAAGGCTAATAGAGTAATACATAAGGACCAAACTGAACCCAGAAAAACTGGCAGTTTCGCAGCAAGCGTATTCTAAGGGAGAAACCACAGAAACAGTATTAAGCTCAGATGTGGCAGAGATTGAAAAGTCTCTGGAGGTAAAAGAACACATCCTCGTAGCTTTCCTAGACATAAAAGGCACTTTCAATAATATCCAGCCAAAGACCATACTGAGCGCGCTTAAAGATTTTGGCATTTCTGAGCTTCTCGAGAAATTATTTGAACAGATGCTCATGGGCAGGTCAAGTATTTCAACATTGGAAGCTAAATGTAAAATGTATTTCACGGCTACTAATCCAATCTTCGGAATCTCCTTTTTCACAGGAGCTTCTACGGGCGACGGTGATTATAAAAACTCGAGCTCTCTGAAATAAAATAAAAATACTATAGGACTATAATAAACAGAAAGCTTGTCAGTAATGTGCTTAAATTTTAAATAATTTATTTCACAAATTGGTGGACTTGTAAAGATGTTAATTCTTGATGCCACAATGGAAGAGCAAGACATCAAGGTAGCTGATAATAAGTCTATAAGCCCAAAGAAATGCAACCACAAACCACGTAGGGTGGCACAAGTAGAAGAAGAGCGGAAGTTTGAGAGCGGAAGATGAATCAGGAGGAGAAAGAGGTTTTGAACAAGCCGCCACAATTACCGAAAAAGTGCGAAGAT